CAGAAATGAAGCTGATTTGGTCTCCCGAGAATGCAACCAAGGCCTACATCGACACCGTTCGATCTGTGAGCAATTCTTTTTTCAAAAGTTTCTTGCTTTTAGTTGATTTCATGGCCGATTAATTTAATTTATTGGGTTTCGTTTGTTTTTCTTGATTTTTATGATCTGGGTTTTGTTTGCAGTGTGAGGTTTTTCATGAATCTGGGATTGCAGAGCTCGTTTCAGCCATGGCTGACGGGTGGAATGCAGAGTTCATCCTTGGGACATGGTCACAAGGAGGGGTCACTGCAACCAGCATTGTGATTGAAATCGCCAGCCACCACAGATGCATGCGCACGTCACGTGTGTGTGAAAGAGGCAGGGATGGCGCCAGAGGTTCTTGTTGGGGAGCCAGAGGAGATGATGGCCGGGCTTGTGGGGATAGATTTTCTGGTTGTGGATTCTAAGCGCAAAGACTTTGCAAGGGTTTTGAGACAGGCAAGGCTGAGCCCTAGGGGTGCAATTTTTGTGTGCAAGAATGCCGATTCAAGAAGTGCTTCTAGTTTCAGATGGAGAAGTACTGTGGTTTGTGGGTCAAGACGTGTATACAAGTTTAAGATCACCAAACTAGAAAGATTAAAACAAAAAAATTGGATCAAGACGTCTTGACCCACAATCCAGAACACTTCTCCATCTGAAACTAGAAGCATTTCTTGAATTGGCATTCTTGCACACCAAAACTGCACCCCTAGTGCTCAGTGTTGCCTGCCTAAAAACCCTAGCAAAGTCTTTGCGCTTAGAATCCACAACCAGAATATCTATCCCCACAAGCCCGGCCATGACCTCCTCTGGCTCCCCAACAAGAACCTCTGGCGCCATCCCTGCCTCTTTCATTGCTGGCACAAATATTCTGCCCTTGACTGCTCATCTGGGACACGTGATGTGCGCATGCATCTGTGGTGACTGGCGATTTCAAGCACAATGCTGGTTGCAGTGACCCCTCCTTGTGACCACGTCTCAACGATGAACTCTGGGTTCCACCAGGCAGCCAAGCTCTGCACCCCAGATTCATGAAAAACCTCACACTGCAAACAAAACCCAGATCATAAAAATCAAGAAAAACAAATGAAACCCAAGAAATTAAATTCATACGGCATGAAATCAACTAAAGCAAGAAAATTTTCAAGAAAGAATTGCTTACAGATCAAACGGTGTCGATGTTGGCCTTGGTTGCATTCTCCGGAGACCAAATCAGCTTCGTTTGTGTCCAAATTCTCCTTCTGATTCTTCTTCTTCTTTTCGCTTTCGCTCAATATATGTGAGCAAAGTGAATAGCTATATTCGTATATTAATCGCCACAGGCACATATATAACTATATATATAATTTCACATAGGTTCATACCGATGGTTATTGGTACATTAAAAAATGATGGAAAAATTACTCGCTAGATTATATGAAAAGGGCATTTTAGGAATATAAAAAATTCGAACTTGCTGACTCATCATGTAATATAAAGAAATTTGATGAGTTGAAGTTGCTGAACATAAAGTGAACATATGCATTAAGATCATTTAATTTGAAACAAACACATTTACAATCCGGGTTTGGAAAATAATAAAAAGGCTGAGTTTCGGGTCAATCAACTAACCCATTAAAATACTTATATAACCCCTTTATTAAAGGGGTCATGTCAACCAGTGTAAA